GGAGGGGGGTGGGGGGGTGGGGTAGAGAAACAAGAGTGGAAATGGCACAACCAGAACAAAACTAAAAGAATGCTGACATGATAAGGTCACTGAACAGCTTGTATAGAAATTGTCAAATCAGGACCCAATTTACCGTGTAAACTTCCACTGAAAACATAATAAAATATTTATTAATAAAAAGGCCAGACAGTGGCTATGTGAAAAATGATCTTTTCATGATTTATCCCGCAATATCACCTCTCCTTGGGGCTCTGCACCCTGTGCTCTAGACTCTCTTGAATGTTTCTTGGAAAAATTCCTGCCTCTAAACATTTGCTCATCTACCCCTGGTTCATTTCTTCTCCAGGTCCACCCACATCCATCTTTCAAAGACCCTTACAAGACACAGCTTTACCACCAGCTCCCCATGCCGGAGACATGGGAGCTGCACTCTCCAGATCTTCTTCCATCGTCTCTGTACCACAGACCCGCAGAACTGCATAGTAACGCCCATGCTTTTTATTGAATGGTTGATCCGCTGACCAGCTCGATTTTATGCCTTAATTTCTTTTCCTCAACTTTTAAAGAATAAATGTTTGCTGTTAGGTGCCATCAAGTCAGTTACAATTTATAGCAACATGATGTACAACAGATTGAAAGGCTGCCCAGTTGTACACTATCCTCACAATCACTGCTGTTTCAGCCCATTGTTGCAACCAATGTGTTAACCCTTGGAGGTGTTCCTCTTTTTATGTTGATCTTCTACTTCATCAAACACTATGGCCTCCTCCAGGGACCAGCCTTTCCTAATAACATGTCCAAATAACATGAGACAAGTCTCACCATCCTTGCTTCTAAGGAGCATCCAGGTTGCACTTCATCTTCCTGAAAAGATGGTGGGATGTGAAATTAGCCATTGAAAATGAGCCCATGGAACAAAGCTCTACTCCAACACACACAGGGGATGACCAAACGTTAGGGTTGACTCAACCACAGCACATTTATTTTGTGACTAGATGTGTTAGGGAAACTGCAGTGATGAGCCTTTTTGCCTACTGGGTTGCAGCACCTCAATCTGTCACAAGAACTTCAAACTCCAACCTTCAGGAGCAAACTCACCTAGCTAAGAAACAAAGCAAACAATGCCAAAATCTCTTGAGCTAGTTAAGGTTTACTGTGCCAACTTGGCCGATAAACACATGTAGGATTAACTGAAGGGCCAAGAGATAAATGGCTCGTTGAGCCTCGCCTTTCTAGTTCTCGGGTCTCTTGCTTTCTGATGGTGGGACCAGGGTGCAGCTGCCTTAGCCAGTTCCCTGCTTCAGTTGGCAAGGCTCACTTCCTGCAAGACATCCCTGAGGAGAAACCACATTGACCCACCCCGATGCAGCCCTGGGTACTGGAGCACCCGTGTGGAGACCCCTGCCAGTGCTGAGATGCTTATACAATCACTGATTCGGCTTTCCTCCTGCAGTTCACATCATTGCATGTGTTCTGTGAGATTGAAGAAGACTTTGTAGATTGGTGTCAGACATATGAGCTAATGTTGGACTTATGGGCTTGGACAGCACTGGGTTGGGATGGTTTCTTAGTGTACACTTATTCTTTATGTAAACTCTCTCTTATACATATGACTTTCCGTGGATTTGTTTCCCTAGTTTACCCAGACTAACTCATCCCTTTTCCAGAAAACTCAGTTACAGCCATGTACCAACATTGCGTCATAATCTTGCTGCAAAAGAAGACTTCTCTTCACACACACACACACACACACACACACACACACACTTCCTCCATCATCTGTCAGCTCTTCATCCTGTTCGCCAGCTCCCCTACTACATTAAGGTGCTCTAAAAAGAGTGAGGCGGGGACAGCCTTGATGAGGCTCCTCTCTTGAACACCTCTCCCGTGGGGACGAAGCCTGGACTTTATACTCTAGGCTCTTTTGAGATGAGGTGGAGGAGGCTCAGCCCACTGCCCAGGAAACCGTTCAACAAGAAGGACTTCTGTAATCAATTCAAAGTGAATTCTTGATAGTGCATTGTGTAGGTAAAGGGAATGTTAACGCATCCTTGCGCACAAGGAAAAGAGAAAAGATATGTTAAGTTAATGTCCTGAGATGTTTGGCTGTTTGTCTTGACTGATAGCTATGGAGAGTGATGAGTGGGTCCTAGAACAAAGACCTAAATTCATTAAAGTTTATCAGAAGTCTCTTTGCACTTTTTATCAAGGAATGTATTTGTTTCTTCCTAGAATGAGGTTGTAAATTAAATCAGACCTTGAAGAGATTTGGAACATTGTTACTTGAGCATTGTTACAATCCTCCTTTCTGTCTATGCTTCACAGTTGCAAAGGAGTTACCAAGGCCAGATATGAAGCAGTGATTCGTTTTTGTGTGTG